ACTATCATGATCCCAGTTCTACCTTACAAATCCAGCTGGACCGGAGGATGTACACTGGCACAGATAGGAACTGGAAATACAGTGAACCCAGGATAGATGAACCCCTTAGGACCAGTGGTGAGAGTGGCGATATCGGGAGGGTGGAGGGAAGGTGAGGGAGAAATGAGGAACAGATGACAAGGTCTACGTATAACCTCCTCCCTGGGGGGGCGGACAGCGGAGAAGTGGGTGAGGGAGACGTTGGTTGGTGTAAGATATGATAAAATAATAATTTATAAATTATCAAGGGGGAGGGGGAGCGGGGAGGGAGGGAAAAAAATGAGCTGATACCAAGGGCTCAAGTAGAAAGCAGGTGTTTTGAGAATGATGATGGCAACATGTGCGAATGTGTTGGGACACAATGGATGGATGGATGGATGGATTGTGAAGAGTTGTATGAACCCCTAATAAAATGATTTTTTAAAAAGTGCCCGACACATCAACATTCGTTTCTCTCCCCACCTCCTTAAAGATTTTAGAACCAGTAACACTAGTGCCCTTTACTAAACTTTCAGTGATGTTTATTCCATCTTTCTTTTAGGTCAGAAGCCTTTTAAACGGTCCCTAAGAGGCTCAGATGAAGTAAGTGAAACAAGCTCAGTCAGTCACATTGAAGACTTAGAAAAGATGGAGCACCTGTCTGCTGGCCCAGAGCAAGACACCTCAGATGCTCAGCACCCTGCACAGCACCCAAGGATTCCAAGTCCACAGGAAGCAGACCAGACTGAGGCCCTCCAAGAGAATGCCAAGCACCCAAGAAATGACTTCTCCCAAGTAGAAGCAGCAGAGAACTTAAGATAAAGTCAGTAGTGGGTTTCAAAGAGATGAAGTCATATGGAAAATGAACTGTGCCACATCTTAATACAGTAGGAACAACTGTTCTTTGTACTTCCATGGATTTTTGTACAAACGTGTAGCTGAAAGGAAGGTTTCTAAGGTGAGCTACAGATATGTTTAATTTTATGTGTATATAGAGCAATGAACAATTGTTTCGGTTCTATCCAACTGCTGTTCTCATACCATTTTCCCCCTAAATTACCATAAACACTTTTTATTCACACACAAAACTTCGAATGCCTTGCCACTTAAAACACTTGAAGTTTTGTCTGAACCTCAGTGTGTCAGGTTGTGCATCACAGCTTCTTGGCAAAACAGCGTCTTTATAGCTGCTGCACTTCCACAGAGGGGAGTGGCAGCATTCTGCCACCTGTTACAAGTGGTCTTTCCTTGGATCCAGTTGCCCCAGTTGAAGTCTCCTAGAGAGTCAAGTAAGGACTGTCCACTCAAGCTTGGTAGTTAGCCAAGAAGTCACAGCACTCTGCGGGACTTTCCTTGCCATATGTCCATTTCTCCCACTGTGTGCGATTTGTACAGACACATGAAGGGACTTCTCAGGGAAAAGTGGCTGTGAAGTCTCTTCCTGACTCTATGTATCTGCATATTTTTAATTCTATGCTCATTTCTAAAATTTTAATATATGCGACCCGTAAGGCATAGTTTTGAATAGACTGTGTAGCACCTAGGTTTCATGAAAATTTAAAAGGGCATCCGTATCTGGCCTGTTTTACATTTATGAAGCTTCTGTCCCATTAGCAGCTCACCCTGCGGGTCCAATTCAGAAATTAACCAGAAAAATTATCTTTTTTAAACTAATCAAGCTACTTAAAAAAAAAAATTGGAAGCTCTAATTACTGCCCATTTTTACTTGTGCATAAGTTCTGCTTTATTACAAGTAATGACATCTTATTCTATACATTTTCG